GCAAGCTCCCCCCCCCCCCCCCCCCCCCAAGGTCAGGCTCAGCCATGCGCCAGGTTTGGGGTCCTGCTGCACAGCAGCGGTGTTGGCAGGACACGCATGGTTTTCCTTTGCCCCCAGGCACATTACACCCTCGCTATGCCTCTGAAATATTACTCGGCACAAGAAAAGCAAGGGATCCTATTCTTAGGGGACTGAAATCTTGAGCATGGTTTATGGATTCCCAGTTTCTACTTCTTCCCTGGCAGAGAGCAATTTCAGCCCCAGTATGGAGATTTTAGGCATAACAGAACCCTCCTTACACATGGGAGAAGTCCCCCATAAAAATCTACAAAGATATTACATTGTCCTCTTCAAATGTTTCTGTAAGTCTCACTTCTGCCATGAAGGCTATACAACATTTGACAATGGCTAGGCAGCTGATGTTCTGTGACTGCTGCTCATTATGCTAACTATAATCTCCCAGGGGGGCAAATGGGGAAGTTGCCCTGGTGCCCTGTGATTCACCAGGAATTGGGGCTCCCGGCCGTTGCCATGGCTACAGCTGTGGTGGCTGGCGCTCCAGGCCCTTTAAATAGAGCCGGAGTGCTGTACCACACCCACTGTCCAGCTCTGAGCACTGAGGGGGGTTGTTGTGCTCCATGTGACATGGAAGATGCTCTCCCCCTTCTGCCCAAAGCCCCTTCTATCTTGCTCAGGGGCTTGCGCAGGCTGTCAGCTCCCCTGTAATCACCTCACTGTTCCTTGTGTTCCTCCATGTATTTGTTATATCCGCCTGTTGTCTCTTATCATTTACAGAGACTAAAGCCCAGATCGGCAAAGGTGTCCAGTGTTGTTGCAATCAGCCTTGCAATGCCTAACCGATGTAAAATCTGAAGTCACTTTCACTAAGGATTTGGGCAGCTGCGAATAAATTCCATTGGGTATATGGTGTCTATATGGCAGGTAAAAACCTATGGCTGGCCCATGACAGCTGACTCGGGCTATGGGGCTAACTGCAGTGCAGACTTCTGAACTCAGGCTGGAGCCCAAGCTCCAACACTTCTTGCAGTGGGAAGGTCCCTCAGCTTTGGCTGCAGCCTGAGCCCAGAAGCTTGCACTGGGTCCCATGAGACCGAGTCAGCTGGCACAAGTCAGTCACAGGTTTTAAACTGTAGCGTAAACATATCGACTGGCACTGAATCCCGTGGAAAAGGAGACAGGCATTGCAGTGTTGAGTGCAGAAAAGCCTGAACACCTTTTAAAATCCATGTCTAAGAGCTCTCTGGGGGAGTGTGACGTGTCAGGAGTGAATGCTGATCACTCAGATGCTAATTAGTTCCCCAGAGGACACTGATTAAGCTAATTATCTAATCAGGCTGGTGAGCTTGGTGGGATAAAGCTTCAATTAGCCCATCAGCCCACTATGGAAAAAGAGGCACAGGAAGTGCTGGAGATAGGGGAACAGGAAGACTAGCTAAGCCCAATCACACGGAGGGAGGCTTGAGGGAAGGGAGACGTCAGTTCCCCTCAGGGCTGGGGGAGAAGGCCAAAGACCCATCGACACTATAAATCCCCTATTGCATGGGATTGTTGTGGTAATGGCCAAGGGGCTTTAAATAACAGGGTGTTGTGAATACCCAGCCACTGGTGTCTGTGCAGTTTCTGTGGGGAACAAAAGGACACCCTCTTACTGGAAAGGACTGTGTCTATGTTATGCATGTGCAGTGCTTAGTACAAAAGAGCTCTGCCTCCATAGCCAGGTTTCCAGGTGCAGCCACAACAGAAATGCATAGTACTTTCTTAAATGGCCAGACCTAAGCGCGCTGCCGTCTGGGTGAACATGGAATTTGGTGCACCCCTTAACCGATCCCTCCCAGTTTCCTTTGTCTAGCACACCAGTTTCCTTTGTCTAGCACACTTTCTCTGTGCCCTTTCCTCCTTCACAAGGGTCTTCTGTTTTGGAAGCAGTGTGTGGAGCTGGCATGTTTTATTCTCCACATCAGCCCCAGAGTCCTTTGTGCAGCAGTGCTTTGCAAGAGACATTGTGGCCACAGCATATCAGTCTCAAATGGTGCCCACTGGCCAAGACAGAGCAGGGAACAGGTTCATGCAGGTATGGGGAGAAACTCTGCCATCAAGAGAAGAGCTGTCCACTTGTTTGGGGTTTCCCTCTTCAAGCACACTCCATGTAGCAGGTGGGCTTTGTTTCATAGTATCTTTTGGGTGCTACTAGGGATATGAATGGTTAACCAGTTAACCGGCAGGGGCCACAGGCAAGGGGATGCTCCAGTCTGGCTGGAGCAGCCCCTGCCCATGGTGGGCTTAGCCTGGTGCACCATGGGCGGGGTGCTTTAGCCCTATCGGAACAGCTCATGCCTGTGGTGGGGGAAGCAGGGGGCTGTGCCCTCAGCCCGCCCCCATTTAAGTGATTAACCAGTTAAACATATCATTTAACCAGTTAACCGATTGAAAGGATTTGACACTCTTTGGTGCTACCACACTAAAGACAGAGGCAAAGAAGGCCATGTGGCTTTCAGGATGGGGCATGGATCATAGCCTTCAAAACCTATGGGGTCCAGAGATCCTTGAGGAAAGACTCCCCAATCATTGCAGACCGTAGGGCTCTCGTGCCGCTCTCTGGGGTGCCCTGCTGGCATTACAGTTCCTTCCTGCTTTCCATGGGACTCTTACATTTTTGCATCCATGGGGAGCAAACAGCATGGACTGTCAGTTAAAATTGCCCACAAGTCATGGGTATTTTTAGTAAAAGTCATGGACCCGTGATTAATCTCTGCTCCTGGGTCCTGCTGCTCTGGGGGCTACTGTTCCAGCAGTGGGGACTGGCTGTCCCTGGTGGCTCATTGCTTCAAGGCTCCTGGGGCCACTGCCCCAGACACACCTGGGATGGCTGCTCCTTGGGTTTTTCCTGGGGCTACTGTTCCAGCTGCCCCTAGGACCACTGCTGCTCCAGTAGTCCCTGGGGCCAGCCACAACAGCTGCTGCGAAGGCTCTCCCAGGCTGGAGGAATTAGTTGAGCACTAACACATTCATAGCTGGAAATCAGACCCGCTCACCTATAAGTTAATGTTGGTTAAAATAGGTGTAAAGATGTGTTTAGACCCTAGAAAATGTTCCTAAGTTGCTACATGCATGAATGTGACTTGTAATATCTGTATTCCATGCTGTAAGGTCATATGAAAGTTTTGTTTCATAGTTATAAAAATGCCTGCTCCAAAGTTGCGAATCTGGGCAAGATGAGTGGTTTCCTTGCCCACCAAGAAGGAATAAATGGGCTACTATAGGAAAAAGCTTTGCGGATGAAGAAGTTACATGCAGAAGCCCTTATCCCATTAGTATGAACTCTGAGGCAAGATCATATAAAGATATAAGAAGGAACATTGTACAAGAAGGAACATTTGGTGTTTGGCCTCTCAAAAGGCCTGGAGCTAAGAAACAAAAGCAGCCACTTCCCGGGTCAATCTGAATTAACCCATAATGCGTACTTCATTTCTGTCACCATTTTGAACTATACATTATAATGTATTTGTCTGCTTTAACCTGTAAATAATGCTCTCATTATTTTTCCTCATTAATAAGTACTTAGCTTACTATAGGATTGGCTATCCGCATTGTCTTTGTTGTGAGAGCTAAGGTATAAATGGGGCTGGAGTAAGTGGCTGGTGTCTTGGGACTGGAAGCTAGTGATTTTTGGCACAAGTAACCATTGATCACTAAGTCCAGTACACCTGAGTGGCAAGATAGACTGGAGTGCTCAAGGGGCCTGTCTGAAACTCTGGTAAAAGGAGAACAGTGATGCAAGAGTTCATATTGGTTACTCGCTTGGTGAAATTTTATCACACAGAACATCACGCCATTTGGGTGTGTCTGCCTTGATTTTTGGCAGTTTGCACTGATGTTTGCACTCATGGTTGTGAACTACTCCGGACAGTGTGACATGCTGCTCTTCTCTGCCTGTTCCATTTGTTCATATTACTGAAGAGAGGAGGCAGCTATCTTGACTCTTTCCTTTCCTGCCACCCTGAATCTTGACCATGTTATGATGCAGCTCCCATGAGTGCTGAGAAGTGAGGGACCATGTTGCACAGGTCTAGCTACCCACGTGCTTTACATAATTCTCATTTTATTTGCCCTCCTCCATGCCTCACAGTTGAGGGAATCACAGCACAACACCCAACAGTGCTGTTTTCCCTAAGGTTAGGAATGAAAGTGCCTTTTTATTTGTACATTAGCACTGAAATGAAGCAACTTTGCTATGAAGAAATCAACTTGGAATAAACAGGGCAATTTTTTTGTCTCTACGCAAATTTAAAAACAAAAATCTTCAGAAGTACAGTAGTCCATTAACGATCTCAGAAAAATAAACCTCCGTATTTCACACTGTCCTCAATCATTTAAATGCAGTAAGAGAGGTGGGTTAATGTTATGCAGAATGAAAGTTCATGTTAAGCAGAACAGGCTTTAGCACAGTAACTTGTTTCTTTAGCAATGGCAGCTACAAGTGAAAAGTGGATGCAATAAGCAAGTACAGCATAAAATGGTCCTAGGGCCTTGCTCATAAAAAGACCGGCTCGTGAAGGCTATCTCTCATGCTGTGCGATATACAGGAGATGGGCCACTGCTCAGTTCCTGAATATTTGCAGGTGTTAAAACAAGCTCACAGATACTGACTTAGAACATACCATGTCTGGATATAGGAAAAAGATTCATTCTTCTTCATTACACTACTACATGTTCACAGCTGGAACACATGTACAACTTCATTCATGTAAATGCCAATACATTGGGCTGCTAAACTAGGTTGCAAGTAAACTGGATTGGCTAAAAGCTGAACCTACAGAATCATAACTGATAGCATAAGGGGATGGTAAATTACTGCTAACTCAAGAAGGTATTTGTTTTGGCTAATGCTGAAAATACAAGCAAGAAATAGGTCAAACAAGGGTCACCGTTACAATGCTACAGTAACTCTATTTCAATATAAACACACAGGGCCTGACCATGCACTCATCTTTCTGGCAAAATTTCCACTGGAGTCAATGGGAGCTAAGTCAGCTAATGGAAGCTAAGGAGCTAATAGAGAAAATATTATTTTCATGTATTTAAGGTAATGGGCACATTGCTTTCAGTTAATAAAATAATGTACATCTGCTAGTTCTATGATGTTAATCAGTCCTATACTGATTACTGAATGTCCAAATCCCCACTCAGGATTTTTGGCCTTCTATACCATGTAAAGACATCTATGTGGCATGTGTGCTCCTTGCAGAGCAAGTTATCAAACACTCAGATACATTTCTGATGCCTTTTTCTGCAGAGAATGTAAGTTACTACTGGTAGGTCCCCATCCTGCTTTCATGAAAGTCAATAGCAAAGTTCTTGTTGTCTAATGAGAGAAGGATTGTGCTTTTATTGAATACACAGATTTTAATATAGAAAAGAAAAAATGTATGAAGTATCACAATAATAAATATGAACTACAGTGCAAATTTTTTGTGAGGTGTCACACTGTTGTCAAGATTAACACTAATATAGGCACATAAAGAGCGTGCTGCTCTCTCATTTAAGACCATCAATTTTTAAGTTTCAAAATTCAATTAAATCAATAGGAAGTTGTTTATTTACTGATGACATAATATAGCACATAGTTAGTATCTTGTGTATAATTTTAAAGAGTTTTATTTGTATTGGTTAATACAACACAGAGCAGCAGCTCAATAGGACCAAATGGAGAAAATAGGAGAAATCTTTCATTGGGATTTCCCTAGATTTGCTCAAACAGTGCTCCAAATGTGGTTGTTTTTTTTTGCAGTCAGATGAAAGATTGAACTATTTTACTTACAGGGGTATTGGATTGTTCTGTTAACTTCTGCTCCCATACTCTCAAACGTCTTTCCCGTTCCTTTAGCTCCTGCTCTTTAAAGCTTAGATCACGCTCCAGTTTCTTCAGCCTTTCTAAGGTTGCCTCAATTTCACATCTGCAGACAGACAATTTGTTAAGTCTTGTATTTTTCTGACAGATATAAATTGGTCATATTTCCCATGCGAACATTAATTAAATGTGAAAATCTGAAAAGTACAATACTAACTCAAGCAGTATATTTAATTACTGCCAAACACAAAGCTTTTCAGAGCATTAAAACAACTGGTAATGTTTATATATTAGAGGATAAACCAGAATGCCTTACTGTTTAAAAAAAGTGAAAACCCATCTTTTCTTTTAATATAATGAAAAGGGTACTATCATGGAAGGAAAGATGGTTTGGAAGTGATAATAGGACCATCTCTAGCATTGCTATATGTGTAAGCTAACAGCCCCATTTGCTTGGAGTTTATCACTTGGCCATAAATATTATTTGTGCAAAACCTTGTTATACACAGTCTCAGTATAGTACTTTCCCCACCCTGGTTTCTTCAGATTAAAAAACAACAGAAATGTAACTGCACACCAATATTCTTTGGTGACACTACTTAAAACAGAAAGTTCTGGGTCACCTAGTTTGGATTCATATCCAAAATTCTCCAGTTGGGGTGCTTAGATACAGACTAATATTTATTTTAAAGGGCTGTTAGGTTTTTTGAGGCTTATACCTTAATATACTTTCACTCTGAAATGAAAAGGAGGGAGTCGGAAGAGTGTAAATGAATATGAGGAGGGGTGGGCAATAAAAAAGGGGCTGTTCACTAGGGATAGCCTCTGGTGAGCTGCCACCATTGTTCCATTTAGCATATTTTTTAATGGCTTGTCAAATCTAGCATCAAAATGTCTCTGGATAGAACATCCATCAATCCCCTGTTGTACACTAATCTGTATATAATAGAGAATAATTCATTGATATTGCCCAGGTTTTTCCTTGTGATAATCAAGGACAGATTTGATTTGTACTTATTTATTCAATATCTGAAGTTATTTGACCAATAATGAACATAGCATGGCCTGTACATTGCCGCAAACTGTGTACCCTGATTGCTGCCTCAAGTGTCCAGTATTCATGCTGTCTGACTAGTTGGTCACATGGTCTTGTTTCTGCTCTCTAAACTCCCATAGGGAGATTTCAAGATGGCCACATGAACACTTCAGTTGCAAACACTGCTGAACAGCAATTCACAAGGTTTTTCCACCTTCACAAAACAACATTTGCTCCCACAGATGTTTTCAGAATGCAAATAAAAGGGGCAGCAAACACTTCAGCAAATAAGGGTTTATTTGAAAGAATTTAAATACTTTTTTCCCCAGTATTCTTCCAAATCTAGCATAGAAACAGCTCAGGATGAAAGTTCGTAACAGCTCATATACCATTCCAGTTTTTTAAAATAACAATTAAGTAATTTAAGCACTCAAAGCTATACATATCCCCTATAAAAGACATCTGTGTGGGAATTTCGTAATAATGAAAATGAACTTTCATCACTCAGGCAAGCCTGCTAACAAAATTAACTCTGTCACTATACAAATTTCAATCCTGTTTTGGGGCATTTCTTGAAAGCACAGACAGCCAATAATGCTGATTTTGCAGTTAAATCCAGTGGCCAGAACAGATGTCCATCACATTTATTGCAAAATTTCATCTCAGGTATGACAAGGTCAATGATATCCTTTGTGGTCACAAAAAGCCTGAGGTCATGGAATCTATAATCATAAAAGGGAACTAAACCTTCATTAAAAAAAAAAAAGTAGCCTTGGAAATATGAACTAAAGCAAACAGACTACTAGGGCTGAAAGCTTGTCATTATTTTTTCCCCAAAAGACCATAGGTGATTCACAGTCCCTTCACCCAAAGTTAGCCTTTGAAGGTCCAGCAAACACCGTAACCATTGGTCCCTTCATTTCCAGGAAGACCTCATATCTTGTAGGCCTTGCAAAAACTGCTAGAGCCAGTTCTTCAGAGGAGAAAAGTTAATAAGTGTTTTGACTACAACTTCTAGCCTTTTTAAAGGACCACATCTACTAAGTATTGTGCAACTTTAAAAGCCTGAAAATGATAAGAACAAAACCACTGATGTTAATATTCTACCTTATGTTGTGTATCTTGTTTATTATTACATCTACAGTGTGTACAATAAGACAATTTGAGGACACTTTGTTAGCATTGCTTTTGTTGGTTTGTGTCTCAACTTTATTGCTACTTATATGTAGTTTTATACATTTAAAATATGTAAATTATAGTTTTCTTTTAAATAAAATTCTGCAACAGGAAAGTCCTGGTAGCAATAGCTTTCTATATGTCAAAAGCATAGTGTGTACTGTAATTATCTCTCTTCATTAGACAGAAACGTCTCTTATAATAAAAGGTCAGTCTGCAAAAACAGCTGCATTCTGAAAAATAATTCCACTGTATATAATAAAACAGTGTAATTAAAGAGAAAGCTACCGTACATTGCCCTGTTAATGAGTCTGTTACTTCATGAAGATAGCAGCTTGAAATATACATTATAAAACGTGTATCTGTAGCCCTGTAGTTTGAGCTTGCTCGCTTGATTTTATTGAATCATTTCATTCAATAGCCTCAGAGAATGTGTCTTATTCTAAATAATAGGCAAAAATTGTGACCGCACGTGATTTGTTTTTAGTTTTGCATTTTTATTGAAAGATCAAAAAAAGCATTAACACGGTCACATTTAGATGGCTACAATAGAGGCTCTCAGAAAAGAAAAGGATATGGCTAGTATGCGTGAAAAAATGCATACTAAATACAATCTCTGTTTAACTATGAACATTTACATTACTTCTCAACCATAATAATTAACCTGCAGAAAGAGGTATTAACTATGCTCTTCAAGGTAATTTTTATGTTGCCAGTCCTGCAACTCAGAAACAAGGACTCCATTTGTAAAAATATCAGACACGGGGGAAGAAGATACGAATTAGGTTTAGCCAATGATAAAAACAGACATATTAAGTCAACAACTTGATTTTTACCAACAGACATCACAGGAAGCTTGAAATCAAAAACATATTAAAGATGGTACATTTTATCATCTGCTCACCTTTACTCAGTCTACTCTGTACAAAATGAATGCTCCAGTTCTGTTTCAGGTCAGTCAGAGCCAAAGTAAGTCCAAAGAGGAGTCTATGTACCCTGTGTCATCATACAGTCCTGGCTGGAGTACAATTTACTGCTGATCACCACACAATATGAAGAGTGCTCTGCCCTTTTCAGAGTGAAACAAATGCAAACCAACTTTCCTCAGCAGTGACTGGCTTCAGCCAAATCCCAAAGGTAAGTAATAGATGATGGCTCACCTCTCCAGGATTTGTGCAGAGAGACAGATACATCCCCCTTCTCAACCTCAGCACCAATCTTCTCTCTGACTTCTGATACCAGTCATCATCCAAGCTGTCTATTGGCAGCACTTCCAATTCTTACATACACACTGACCCAACTTGCTACTGGTCAAATTCCCAGGGCATGTCTACGCAGGAAAGTGAATCCACCTTAACTAAAGGTGTAAATGTAAAGAGCCAGAGGCTTGGTCTACACTAGGAACTTGGGTCAGCTCAGGGGCTGAACCTGAGAGCAGTGCAGTTATACTGATCTAATTCCTGGTGTAAATAGTACTGTGTCAACTAAGTGCTGCAGCAGTGTGTCTGAAGTGCTCTCTTTGCACACACGCCTTTAGTTAAATTGCCTTAAACCCCCTGGAAACAAAAGACAGAACTATGTTTTAGCTACACCAGACTAACATGGCTGCATCTCTACCACTATTAACTCCCCTTGTGGATTCTCTCATTCAGAAGTACAGCGGCCTTAAGTTTGCTTGAGCTTAGTCCACTTGGACCACTTTACTTCTGCACAAGAATGCATGCAAGAATGAATGCATTTTAACTAAGGCTTTTTAAATGTGCACCCCTTTTGTTAATTTTCATTACCTTCCTTAAGGGTTCCCACGAAAACATGCCCCTACGATTCAGTGTAGGCTATTGTGATCATTATTTTAATCAGAGGTAGAATAAATCATTTTCATCCCAACTGCTGGACACATACTCCCGACTATGCTCTTTCTTTCTGCAGCTAAGTCTACACTGCAGGGGGAAGGTTGGCTTAAGATAAGCAACCCCAGCTACGTAAAAAACATAACTGAAGTTGACATATCTTGGTGCCATTTTCCACAGTGTGAGGTTGATGGGTGAAATGCTCCCATCAACTTGACTTACTCCTCACGACAGCAAAAAGTACCAGAACCTCCAGGGCGCACTCAGCATTCAATTCAGCAGGTCTTTACTAGAACTGGTCAATTGATCCCCGGAAGATCGATTACAGAACGTCGATCCTCCAGTAAGTAGAGATGTGACCTAATGGTGCCACATTTCTATGACTCAATCAGAATCTTGCTTTTATAAGTGAATTGTTCTTGATCACGAATAAGATTTTTCTCTCGTTTCCCTTGTCTATCAGTTTATCGACTCTTCTGAAAAATTCTATAATTCATTTTTTTCTTGAAGTCATACCTTTGCTGAAATGCTTTTCCATGGCTAGACCAAACACTTTTGACTTATACTAATTTATGTTTACAAAACATCAACCAGCATTCACAATGAAACTGTCTCTCTGCCCCAAAGTGAAATATTTAATAAAACAGAAAAACCATATGGAGAAGATTCCTGATAAAGAAAGAAACTTTTGAAAAGAATAAAAGTTTAATTTTACTGAAGGACAACTCAAACACGCATCTAATTAGTAGCAGGTCTGATCTCTCCAATGTTTAAAGGGATAGCAGCAGAAAATGTGGAGGCTCCTGTGGTCACATAATAAACCCTCATGATAAGCCTTATTCTTCCAACATTTTTTGCCCCTTGATTGCTATCAAAAATACAAAATTGAAAAAATACTAACTCAGTCCAGCAAACAATTAATACCCCAAAAGAATCTAGTGGCTCCCTTGTTGAGAGACAATCACATTCAAAAGATATCCCAATCGAGTGGGAGAATGGGGAAAAAGATATATTGATTTCTTATAAAAATAATGTCACAAATAGAAACCATCCAAGAGCAGTTTAAACAAAATGGAAAAATTAAACATAAGAACAAAAGATTCTTTCAGCTGATAAATAAAACCTAGTCGAACATTCAACAAAATAATATTTTTCAAACATCAATACATTAAAAATGTGTTGTGTACCAGGCACTTCAAGATCAAATGTCAGATTTTCTAATATATATGTAGTTTACATCTTATATCAGCAGATGGCGCAAAACGTTAGTGTACTGTCCTGAGAGCAGAGATGCAGTTACCAGATTCTGTGCTGAGTCAGTGCAGGAATAATGTCAGCTCTAAAACATGCTATTTATACTCACATCATGTGACCTGGCTCAACCATCCCATCTTGTGCTCACTTTTTCCACACACACACACACACACACACACACACACACACACACACACACACACACACACTAAAATTCTCTAGTTATCAATTTCCTTTTGAAGTTTACCAACAAAGTTTGGAATTGTTTTGTTTTGTTTAAACCTTATGTCTATAATCTTTTCCTTATTCTTTACTTCCCGACTCCAGTTTTGCTGAATGTTTTTCTTTGCTTGTTTTCAGAGCTGCAAGCAGAGAATATTTGAGTATTTGTGCTCCCAGTTTAGCTGGACAGAAGCCAAAGCTTCTTAATATAGACCGCAGCAAGATCATCTGGTAACAATCCTCTGTCTGTGCAGATCCTCTTTCAAAATTCTTGTCCAAACATTGAGAAATACTGTGAAGCATTAAGGCTTTCATACTGAGAAAAAAGTTTTTGGAACATTTCTCTTATGTTATTCTTTGCACCCATATAATACAGACTTAAAATTGGATCCAAAAACTGTTCCAAATAATTGAAAAGGCCATTTACCTGGTCTTCATTTGTAAGTATACAAGAGGAAACAGGTCATATCATTTGCTCAAGCAATTTTTGTGCATTATCACAAAAAATGGGGCTGGCAAAAGTAAGTCCTATCATGAGGATGCACAACTGAGAATGCAGTGTGGCTGCACATGCAAAGATTCAAAATCCAAAATGTAGTCTTGTTTTGAAAATTGGGCCCTTTTATTTGCCATCCTGGTATAACATGTAATTTTCACACTTATACACACGTACAGATGTACAGATATACTAATATGTAGCTTAAATCACAAAGATCTTCATATTAGAGACTGAATATTGGTTTTAAGATTTGGATGGTAAAACCCATAGACATTTGTTATTCCTAACAAGTGTAATATTAATACAGCACACAGCTTAAATGTATTGACTCTTAACTCACATTCCACAGCATTCTGGGTAGTCTTGAAAAAGAACAAGCTCAAACATGCTCCAAAATATCTACATAACAAATATTTTATATTAAGGAAGAGGTTACCATCATGCCAACTGGGTCTGACTAGAAACTCTCATGACAGCCACACAGTTTTGGCATTTAACCCTTTTCGAAGAGTCTTAATTTACCCACATCATTTCAGGTGAACACCATACGGTCTTATTTTGAAAGCAAAAAACCATACCTCCACGCTGCCTTGTTATGCAGGAATGAGTTACACTGCTCTGGAAGGTTGCTGTCATGGGACATGGATTCCAGAATTGAAATGATCTGCTTGAAAGATGGCCTTTTCTGAAGACAAAATGATAACAAGAATCAGCGGTTTGTTTTCTAATCTGACTATGTTAAAACATCAATGGGATTTCTCCCACTGCAACTAACACAGAGACTGGAATGCTGTCTATATAATTATCAGATGTTCAGCTGATGGAAAATTATTTTAAACCCATGTATTAAAACTGTTTACTTTCCATTGGAAAAACCGGAACAGAAACTGGCAGAATCTACAATTTAGGGCCCCCCATCTGTTTGGGCCCTCTGGATCCTATCACAATATAAATAAAATAATAATAAAAAACAAAAACAACAACAACAAGGGATATATAATGCTTAGAAAAAGAAGGGTTTCTAGTGCAATGGGGGAAAATCCTACCTAACATTCCTAACCTGGGACACAGACTCTTCCAAGTGATTGGCAATGCCTTTCAATGCACAGCTTTGCAGCTGTAGGTCTCAGGTAGGTACCCAACACTATTAATAACTGAACAAGCCATTTGGTAACCTGAATGTGAGATCTCTGTTCAATTCCTACTGGACATAAGCCTACACCACAAAAAATGCCCCTCCCTAACTGACACTATCATTGGTAGTGTCGGCAGAGGTCAGGGACTGAACAGATATCAGGACAATTGGGGTAATTCTTTCATGACAAAGCCGGACATATCAGCAAAGCAGTGGGGGGTGGAGAGTAATTCACAGTCACGCTGTGTGTGCAGTTCATGTCCCATGCAAAACTAATGGCTGCCATTCTTACCCCCCTTTATGAAAACTAAATTCACTCATCATACAGAGCAGTCATAACTCTCTGCATTTTCTACTTTCAGCAGTGACAAAGGAAGCGACAGAGTAAGATAATTGTTGAAAACTGAAAAAGCCACAGTTAAATGTGTTTCTTGAAAGAGCAGCGACTCCGTTAGTCTGTTTGACAGACCCCAGGCAAGGTTGAGACAAAAGGTTGAGACAAAATGTAGATACATAATAAAGGGATGATGCACATTCTCTCTGCATCTCATCTGTAATTACACCATTTCTGCTAAAATTACAGATGCAGCAATTAAAACGTGCATTTTAATTTGGGTGCACAAAAACAATTAGGAACAATGCTGAGGTGTCTCTCCCAGGAAGATCCAAGTGATTTCTACATTATAAAAGAGAGACAATTTCTTTATTTCAAATGTCAAACAGCATAAAAAAGTGTCAAATGTGTAACAAAAAAAAGAGACAAGCTCTCTTATACAGTAGTGCTGCACTATTCAATACTAACAGGAGGCTTTTTTGTCTGACATTTTTTGGTCCATTTTCAGGCAAATGGTGCAGCAAGCAGATTTTCTGTGTGGCACACAGCACTTGCCCAGATGCTGCTATACCTGTGCATTTTGGCACTATCCCATAAATTTCCTTGAACTATAACCTTAGAATAGTTGCATAACACGGTAGCAGGTGCAAACTTGGCAGTATTTTATTTGTACCTGTGGCTATAATTCTGTAACTTGTATTTATCAAAAAATTCCCACTAGTTTGTTACAGTGGTTCTACAGTGAATCTCCACATGCATTATAGAGGTTAGGGATTCCACAACCCCACACGGATGATGCTAAGGGTAAAACTTACATCCAGGAGATTCCCTTGCATCCAGTGCCAGGCAGGCTCTGTGATTTGAGTCATAGACTAGTACATTATTGCTAGTTTTGGGTGGTTCTGCTCCTGGAGGCCAGCAGCTTATTTATCAATTTAAGTTTTATTCTTTTCAAATATTTAGCTGTTGCTTACTCAGACCTAGTGATGTACACAAGGTCAGGGCACTTGTCTGGTTGGGTTTATGAGTAGCAATGCATGTTAAATGCATTACTGTCATTTCAATTGCTTTTGCACTAGAGATGTTAAAATGAGTTTAATTAAGTAACCGTGTGACAGCTGAAAATTACATGGTTATATGTGGGGCATCAGTCGGCTCCCTACGCTGCTGCCTCTGATATAGCCAGCTCTCCAAGAGCCGGTGTGCACCAGGAGAAGGCTTTTAAGCTGGCACCTCATGTGTACAAGGAGCCTGTGTATAACCGTGAACATTAACTGATGGTTACACTTTCACATCCCTATTTTCCACTGATGTTCCATCTCTGTTTGCCTGTGAGATATGGAACTGTGGCAGCTCCCAGAACATGCTGCAAACCCAGACCTCATATTTATGTATGTGCATAGTGTGAGTAAACCCTATTCCATCACTTAACCGACATGTAGTGTGTCCTTACTAAACCAGTTACATAATCTGGTTTTCAGGAGCAGATGAAGAGAAAACAGCCCTTTGACCTCACTGAAAATGCCAAGATCAGGGCAGGCTGCAAACAGGAAGTCCCAGTCCTTAATTACATAAGAAATAAAATATTAAAAAGTAAAACAAGTTTCATTTCAGCATGTTTGTGTATGTTCTGCTTGGCACACCTTTCTGTGGGTACTGGGGCGGTATTGGGCAAGGCTAAGACCAGCTTTTTATGCTCTCACACCTGCCTAGAACAGTGGGATCTTACAGAGAACAGAACTGTCACTGAAGGACAGGTCAGAGCACTGAATGACTAAGTTAGTTGTATGAAGCAATACGATTGCCAGTGCACTGCCTGTGGTTCCTACACACACCATCACCACCATACTGGCAAGCCGTGAACCAGGACAGCCAGAGGAGTTGTTAAAACTTTGCTCCTTGTCTATAGGTACAACAGCGCTGGCAATGCTTGTGCATCTATGCATGTGGGCACCAACTGTTTTACAGGCAGAGCAGGTATCTGAATCAGCCTTGGCAACAGAAATTCCAATTCACAGAGAATTCTGGCTAATATTTTGAATGTTTCTTTTCACTCAAAGTTTATTACTGGGCAGGTTTGCATAAAAATAGAGCCTTTGATTCTGTTATTGTATCTGTTCCTACTGTCTCCCCCAGTTCCCAAGACTAAGATGGGAATCATATTCTAATAACTTATAATGTCCCAGAATGGGGGAAGATAATCTGTAGAAATAGATGAAAGAAATACAAGAAATATAAGAAATACAAGAGCCTGGTTTAAAGTAAAAACTTCCAATATACAAAGATATAGTGAGAAATCATATTTAAACAATTGTCTAATACAGGGGTGGTGAACCTAAGGGTACGTCTAGACTACATGCCTCTGTCGCCAGAGGCATGTAGATTAGGCTACCCGACATAGTAAAATGAAGCGGCGATTAGAAATACAAGAAATATAAGAAATACAAGAGCCTGGTTTAAAGTAAAAACTTCCAATATACAAAGATATAGTGAGAAATCATATTTAAACAATTGTCTAATACAGGGGTGGTGAACCTAAGGGTACGTCTAGACTACATGCCTCTGTCGCCAGAGGCATGTAGATTAGGCTACCCGACATAGTAAAATGAAGCGGCGATTATTTAAATCGCTGCTTCATTTTACTAGGTCGGGTAGCCTAATCTACATGCCTCTGGCGACAGAGGCATGTAGTCTAGACGTACCCTAAGGCAGGCTTGCCTAGATTTGGCGCTCTGGGCTACTCCGCAGCTTTGGGGAGCCTGCGCTAGTGTTCCAGCCCCTCCCCTCTGCCATCTTCCTGTGGGGCTGGAGTGCACAAAATCTACTAGCCTGCCACCCCCAAGGCTCTTGTGTGCAAGGGCAATGTGGGGAGTGTCTTTCTCTTTCTTACTTGGGGGAGTTTGCAGTTTTTTTGTTTCTCACTTGTATACAGTCCCCGATTGATTTTTCTATGTGTCAGTAGCCCCTGACCCAAAAAACGTTCCCCACCCTGGTCTAATAGATTAGACAAATAGGTTATTTAGTATCAAGTACTATTGGTGGTACTCTTTAAATAATCATTATTAATACTTAGCACATAAGTTATTTTTCATGTAAAATTACTTTAACTTACAGCTTTTACTATATAAACGTCCTCTATGCATGTTTTATTCATAGTGATTTAAATACAATGGGATAGACAATTTCTTCAAACATTAAGAAATTCTATACAAGTTTTAGGCTTTGCTTTCAGTAACAGATGAATAACAGGCACAGGGGGAGCTGCATATTGCAGTATTATGAAAGGTCACAGTCGTCTCTAACAAGAATTGTACTATATACTCGCCCCTGAAGAGCTGACTTTAACAACACCTTTATAATGAGGGGCCCCTTAGAGTCTCCTGTGTAGACAGCCCCTCAATGTTCAGTTCTCTTTTACAGAAGAAGAGGTCAACTGCCTTTTCAGCATCATCTTCTTGGGATCCATGTCTTATGAGGGAGCAGACCAAGAAAATGGTTGTTATTCTCCTGCAATTTGCAGAAAAGCAGAATGATGCCACAATAACTATTCTTCATGGCAGTCTATAAACTAAGGAACTCCCTTCATGGGAAACTGAACTAGGGAGTCTGTAGCATAGAGGCACTGAGTTTTCATTTGGTAGGTACCAAGCTGTTGGTGGATCTCAAGTGTTCTGAGGAACATTCATTAAGTGAGAGAACATACCTTGTCCCCTCACAGAACACTCTGGGGAAAAACCCTACAAGGAACACTTCCTTCTTCCTGTCTCCCTCTCATGGTTCTTTCCAAGTGACAAGGCGATTTACTGTTAAAAGCGTCAGTTCATCCAGGAACAAATGATGGCTGTACTGAAGCAGCGGCAAAACCCCCATTGACATTAACAGGACCAGAATTCTGACCCTACCAAACTGAGTAAAGCAATATCATTTTCCCTCCGGGTACGTCTACACTACAGCGCTAGTTCGAACTAACTTAGTTCGAATTAGTTAATTCGAACTAAGCTACTACGAACTAACGCATCTAGAACTAAAAACTAGTTCGAACTAGCGTTTTGCTAGTTCGAACTAGTAAGTCCACATTGAGTGGACTCTGAACAGGGCTTAATGATGGCCGGAAGCAGTGCCGGCAGGGCATAAAAGGAGGACTTAGAGCATGGAGATACTGTCTCAGGCTAGCCGAGGGCTGCGCTTAAAGGGTCCCGACCCCCACCCCGGACACACAGTTCTAAGGGGTGCCCCGCTTGCAAAGAAGTTCTGGCTTGGAGTGCCCTGAGTGCCCACACTGGGCACATCACACCACTCGGCCATCAGCCCGGCTGCACTTGCCGCAGGCTGCCATCTGGGGAGAGGGAGTAATTGGGGGGCTGCAGGAGAGCTTCCACCCCCAGAAGCCCGCAGAGCCAGCCCAGTCCTCCCCATCGGGGGCTCGTACCCCATTCCTCCCTCACCTTCTTCCACTTACCCTTCCCTAGCCCCCCTTCTTATTGATGTACAAAATAAAGATAACGTTTCTTCCAACATTGACTCTGTCTTTATTGAAAAAAACTGGGGGAGACTGGGAAAAGGAGGTGGGAGAGGGGAAGAGAAAGGCTGGGAGAGGGGAGGGCAACTAACATGATCAGGGGTTGGGAACAGGTCCCAGATGAAGAGAGGCTACAGAGACTGGGACTGTTCAGCTTAGAAAAGAGGAGACGGAGGGGGGACAGGATAGAGGTCTCTAACGTCCGTTAGTTCGAACTAACTATCTAGTGTAGACATACCCTCCTTAACTATCTTCACAGGAGAAGAAAATGGTAACAAAGCTGAGGCCATTATGAACTGCTTTCCAGGTACCGCCACTCCCTGGACTCTTTCCAACTAATTTGCTGCATTACAAAGTAGGGCAGTGGACTGAACTAAAAATGGACATTTTTCTATCATCTATATTTGGTAAATATTCATTTTTTATTATTCCTTTAGTTACCCCCATGGGACAGGTTCAAAGGTTTATTAGCTTGATACAACACCTCTTCTTGAAGTTGTTTTTTATTTTATTTTCATGTTAATTTAGGACTTGTTCAGCCATCCTTATTATACAGTGGGTATGTCTAGACTGCATCCCTCTGTCAGCAGAGAAATGAAGATTAGGCAGGTCGACATTGCAAATGAGGCAGGAATTTAAATATCCCGCGCCTAATTAGCATAAAAATGGGCCACCATGTTTTGCCGACTCAGCACTTTGTTGGCAAAAAGCAGCAGTCTAGAGGGGGATCTGTTGAGAAAGAAAGGCTTTTTCGACAGATCTCTTATGCCTTCTGCAAGGAGGTTTACAGGATCTGTCAAAAAAAGCCTTTCTTTCTCAACAGATCCCCCTCTAGACTGCTGCTTTTTGCCAACAAAGTGCTGAGTCGGCAAAACATGGTGGCCCATTTTTATGCTAATTAGGCGCGGGATATTTAAATTCCTGCCTCATTTGCAATGTCGACCTGCCTAATCTTCATTTCTCTGCTGACAGAGGGATGCAGTCTAGACATACCCACTGTATAGGAACTTACGCTGCAAGTGCTCCTAATGTGCTAAAGGTGTCAGAACCAGATCTTTAATTGTTACATTATATGTGCAACTTCTCAGAGGCATTTGTGAAGAAATAACTTTATGAAGAAAATCTGTTTTATAGGTAAGAATTAAACTATTTTTCGTTATGTATACATTCTTCCCATCCTACCCTTACACGGCTATTCCAGTCAGTAGCCTAACACTGACTTCTCTAAACAGACCTTGTTTTAGAAGGCAAAAGAGGGATCTAGCCATAAATATGTTCTAGATAACCATAATGAAGAGCCTTTGCTAACAGTTTTGAATTGGTGTGAATTGATTTGCAGCAGCAGTAATAGGACAGCTGTGTCTTATAAAATAAGACTTACGGTATGTCTAGACTACATGCCTCTGATGACAGAGGCATGTAGATTAGACTACCCGGCATAGGAAAATGAAGCGGCAATTTAAATAATCGCCGCTTCATTTAAAATTTACATGGCTGCCGCGCTGAGCTGATCAGCTGTTTGTCGGCTCAGCGCGGTAATCTGGACATTCCGCGGTCGACCTCCCAGGTATGCCTCCTGGGATGAGGCATACCTGGGAGGTCGACCGCGGAATGTCCAGATTACCGCGCTGAGCCGACAAACAGCTGATCAGCTCAGCGCGGCAGCCATGTAAATTTAAATGAAGCGGCGATTATTTAAATCGCCGCTTCATTTTCCTATGCCAGGTAGTCTAATCTACATGCCTCTGTTGCCAGAGGCATGTAGTCTAGACGTACCCTTACATACTAAAATGATGAAGCTGAAAAAGAAACAGATACATTCAACATGAACACAATACATTAAACTACCTTTGAATCAGCTTCCCAGCACTGATGCATCAGTTCTGCAAAACTTCTGGGACAACTGCTTGGAATGGTTAATCTCTGCAATGGAAAGAGGATTCACCAGTTAAAAGAAAGCAAAGAGCATTTTCTTGTTCTTAATCGCTTAGTCATAATACTTTCTATAAAACTGGAAACATCAAATGACAAGTAAAAAGATTAGACTTTTTTTTTTCAAATTAATCCACAGAATAAAGGCCAAAACTCCATCATTGAGGATCAATGTGCAAAATCCAAAAGTATGCACTATGGGTAGGTACAGTAAATGTTAAAAAACTAACATGCAAGGCATGGAAAGTCTTTCAAATGAATATTAAATGTTTGGATTCAACTAACTGAATTACTGGGTGTTCATAGATGTACCTCAGTATAAATGTAATGTGGGAGAAGATTTAACCCCTTTCTCTCATATGAAGTAATCAGCAATGTTATTTTAAAATCACTGTTGATATCACAGAGAAATGGCCGAAATATACATTGCATTGATTGACGAGGTGATGAAGTTAAAAAAAAAAAGTGAGTGTGATAGGAGAACCTCAGTCCACAAGATAAGTTTCACAAAGCTGTGGTCTGACTGATGCATTGATATCAGTATCATAAGGAGATACCTCTAGGTTCTCAGTTAACTGACTTTAGATGTTTGATACCAACTAAAATAGATATGCAAATGTAAAACAGAACGCTTCTTCATTGGATGATGTGGAAGGACCTAGAAATCTGAGAGGTCAAGATGGAAAAATGATTCTCCAGTGCTATAAACAGGACCAAGCCATACAAAGATGATCTAACCAACATATTATAGTTCCATTCAAACCAACTTGCTACTCCAGGCATTTTGACTGCACTAATCCTGGCATTTTGCAACTACAGCAGAGCAAGTTGTATCAGATTATACCATTATATTACTGGAACATGAGCTGCAAAGCCATGTGAGCCACAATGTGCCAAAATAAGAGTACAACAAATCTGTCTGCCCAAGCACTTAAATAAGACTAAAACCGGAAATGTAAACTATGCAGTAAAGGCATTGCTGGTGTATAATTATGGAGATAATATATTGCTGGTGAAAAGTTTTTTGCACAATTAATGCATTGAAATTGTTATAGTGCATGAGCAAATTGCAATGCCATTTGATACTCAGTCAAGTCATTTGCCTAAAAATATGTCTGCTAGTCTTGCTATAGCTGTAACCCTCAATGTTCTAGTTGATGGAAAATAAATTATCAGGAGACATGCAATCATCAAATACACATCTTATGTGTGCAGAATGTTATTTGCCAGATAATATGTAAGTAGTATGTTCCCAGGCTACCATACCATAACAAAGAAGACATTTCTCAGTATTAAATGTGATTTGTTAACACCAACCATAATTTGAGCATTCATATTAAGGGCAGTGCAGAGAAGTGAGAAATAGGAGTGAGATGAAATTCACCTTTTTGTGCAGAGGACATAAACAAAACCCAGATACTGCTGAAGTCTCACTTAACCTCTTAAGAATTGCTTTTGCACTGAAGTGATCTTTGCTCTGAGTATGCTTTAGACCCAGTTTTGCACTGATTTTTATTGGAGTTCTGCACAGACTTTTAGAGGGAGAAGAATGCAGGACTGGATCAACAGCATGTTTAATTCTGCTCTGAATCACACCTATGCAACTCCATTAACATCAATAGAATTTGCATGAATTTATTTGAGAGCAGAACCTGTCCCCTTTATATTTATTAACTTGCTATGATACACAAACAATTTTACCCACAGAAGCTCACGATTCTATATATATTTTTGTTAGTCTCCAAGATGCCATAGGATTATTAATTTTTAAAGTTACAGACTAACACAGTTACCCCTCTGAGAATTTTTCTTCAGTTAGTAAAGCGAGGAATAGGAATATTTTGTGGTCTATAATTTTGCAGGACTGTGTTGGGCATATTCACTATATTGTGATCAGAATAAAAAAATAATCAGTGTGAGTTCAACTGTCAGTGTCAATTCATTCATTACACAACTTAGGAAGGAAGTTTGCAACAGACACTATCATCCTGTTGCAACTAACATCTAGTACAGAGAAATTCATGAAGGGCACTTGTTTTTTCTTAGGCTTCTTCTGGCTGTAGCAAGGCATGCCCGTATTTTGCTTATATTCTATTTTAATAGTTTCCTTCTTTGAAAAACCATGAGGAAATGCATCTGTACCCTTTAACATCCTTTAGTCTAAGATCAAGCCTCTTCATCTCATTTTAAATGGTCTGATATTGTGCAGTAGATCCTGCATAAAATGTTTTGATATACACAGGAATGCCATATACAGTATATGGAAAAGTTTCTGGTCTCTCCTTCCAAAGTAACTTGGCATTAGCTGTATGAGGTTTTTTCCCATAGTGAGAGAAGGAATCCAATCATGTTTCCTGTTCTGAAAATAGTATTCTGTAGAAGGCCGAGTTCATAAGGCTTCTCTTAACTAATGTAGCATTTCCAACTAATCTGGACATCTCATATACTCAGACAGGGAGTGGAACCAACCTATTCCCCAAAAAGAACTAAAAAAAATAAAAAATAAAGGTGTCTCCCTCTTAATTTGTCTCTGCTATTTAATATTTAACTCAATTTTTATTTAAGTGTAATGTATTTTGGGGTACAACTTGTATAGAAGAATATAAAACAGCATTGTAGAGACACTGGATTGCATTATAATGTTTCCCAAACTTCCACTGTGTCTAGATAGTAGAGGTTTCCTCTTAACTGAGATTTCCATGCTTGTCTGTGTGTGGTACAGTCCCAACTTTAAATGTTTTTTAAATGTAGTTACTGTCTTTGATATCAAAGAACCATATGTTCAGACATATAGCTCACATGCCCAACTAACTGAAAGCCTCAATTTGTGTGAAGAAGAAAAGCGAGGCTGGGGACACTGTACAAACGGTGTTTACACCACTGAAGTTCTTTTGAAATGGAAAGACTCTGCATGAGGAAGCTTGCAGCTATGCCACAGTCTTGCCAATACCAGTGAGGAACTCATCTTCAATGTAGTGTTGAACGTAGGTGGCAAAACTGTAATTTCTCTCTTTTTTTAAAACTATTTTTTCTTCTTTTATTTTTGAAATTCTCATCTAAGCGGCAGTTTCTTGTACTATAGTGACTCCTGCTGGGAGAGTTAAGTTGAAGTAGCTGAAGGTCTCTTACAGATATATCAACTCCCGGCCAGTAAAAAGATGTCCTAAACGCAGGAGATGGAGTTAAACTGTTCCCCTACCTTGGACGCAATGGCTTCTTTCATCACTAAGAACAAACCCCTAGGTTTTACAATTGAGACTGAGAAACTAGTACAGTACTTGTACAATTTTTGATCTACAGCATCACGACGTGAAGCTGCAACAATTAGATGTAAAGGGTCCATTCATGAGGAATAACATCACTTTGACCCTTTGTGTTAGCTCCTACTGCTAATCTTTCCATACGCGTGAACTTACTTTCAATTTGAAGAAGATGAAAAAGTCTTTTGCAAAACCCCAATACTGTTTTCTGATCTATGTACCTGAATGTAGAAACGTAGTCTTACCTCGTTTTTTTCCACTACAAGCCAAGCTACTTGTAATCCTTCCAAGCCTTTAAAGGGGACCTCCCTTGTTAGCATCTCCCAGAGAACCTGGAATAAAAAAAAAAGAAAAGAATTTTTATTTCTGTACTTTGTATTTTAAATACATTATTAAACCTTTATACAGCACTATCTGTATCCAATTATCAGGCAACCAGATCCCATTTGCAGTAACTTGGACAAATGTTTGTATGCAAGATTCTCTCACTAAATTAATTTTTCTATTTCTGTTTTTTCCTCTAATAAAAAACCTAGATAAAAAACTGGATTCTGAGGTGCCCAGTGACTGCAATTTTGTGAAAACTATAGGAAATAGTCTCTTCTTTCTTTATACCATAAAGTGGTGGTACAGCTTTGCAAGATCGTGAACGCCTTCTCCCTAATCCCAACTAGTAAACCTTTTCATTATAAGTAATTCTAAATTTTTAAATGTTTCTATACAACTACAAATGGTGTTCATAGTAATTAGTATCTGACCCAATAAATTGTTTGCTTCTGAGATGTGCTTATTACAATCACTTAACCCCAAATATACTTTGTAGGAAATATAATAATTGTTGCTGCCAACAAGTTTGTGATTACATTAAACATAGCAGATATCAGAAATTAATATTTTATATTTAATCTCATCACTATAATACTTTATCCTCAGACATGGGAAGATCTCCTCCATCTCTATATCCATGTAACATTTTTGCAAATATTGCCCCAGATCATTAAATCAAATAGTAGGTGAGAATCTGAGCTACTCAGTAAAAATGAGATCAACATTGCCATAACAGCCAAGAATCAATAAGCCCAACTTATTTTTCTACTATGGAGACATACAATCAGAGTTCAACAAGTTAAAAGTCACTTTTGTTTCCATTCATACATGTATCTAATGACACTGGATCTCAATACACACATAAGTAGCTATTTAAAAAACTTTTTCTTCAGCTCAAAACACAAAAAGGGGCCAACATTTATTGCCAATTAGCCAAAAGTTCCAACCACTTTGTATAATTCTTGATATCTGTGCTCATTGGGCTAGTACTCAAGCCACATCATTTTCAATGAATTATGGCCAACTTTGGAGGTAATTAGTAGGAAAATACAAGAATACTGGCAGATGCTGTTCAAGCACAAAAAATCAAATGAATAGGGTATTCTATCAAAAGAGTTGTTGAATAATTCTGTTTGAGCCATAACCTGATTAGTAAAGGTAAAGGTATCTTAGAAGAAGTCATTGTACTAACAATTTTCAAGGGAAAATATGAATACAGGTACCTAATCCTTCTGTATGGCTCAATTCATTCCCTATAAGAAGAAGGGGGGGGGGGACCTCAATTTGTTATTCCAGTTACCAGACATATGTTGGTAAGGCTGAGGAAAACAAGGGAATTTAGCTGCAAAAAATTAGTGTTCCCATGAAGCTCAGACACCCCAATAAACAGTCAGAATAAAACAAAAGTCACTAAATTATGCAGGTGAGCAGACTTGCAGAACAATCTCATTTCTATAACTATAGGGCTATAGTGCCCTACTTACAACAAACCCTCCAGAATCTGTCACTAAAGATCACACATCAAATGTATAACAATTGTTTGAATTGTAAAAAAAAAAATGTTTGGGTGAACACTTTTACATATTGAGATATGTAGGTATTATGCATCACCATGAGCTGGTAGCTGGAAAAGATGACAGATTTGCTTTTTCTCCCACAACAGGTGATGGTTATACATTTTCGTTCATGCACATAAGTTTCCACAGAACATTTTGCACTGAATTTCATTATGATCCCATCTTTACTTTTATTTCCATTGTTTTCCACCGGTTTTCTAACCCCGCTGTATTAGCTCTAAATACTCCAAATTATACTTCATAATCCAGAGGAGAGCAAGAATTCTGAAAATTCCCTTTTAGTATCTTACTGTTCAGTAGTAGCATTAGAAATCCAAAATATGAGGAACTTGAGTCCCATAAGTCTTTTCGTTTATTCCAAAAGATTTACTTAGAACAATGCTTTGTCAGTGATGCCAATTTCATATTCAGGTCAACAATCCAGATAAAGATTTTCCCACCAAGCTGATGTTCCTTGGTAACATGTTCACTGCCTTACTTTCGTAAGGGTTTCAACACAGTCTTATGAATTGGCTATACTGGACTGCCAGCCAAAGTGGAACCAAAGCTGCAGAGGGAAGTAGTCCAAATGTCCATACAGCCCACAGAACTATACAACAAAAGAATTTAGGGCACATTGCAAATTGTGGTTCCAAGACTGCTCAGTCTCCTTTGAATATACAGATAGAGAAAAAAGTGAACATATGGAGATGAGGACATGACATGAAGAACAAGAGTGATTGTTGTTTTCAGTAAGTTTCAAATACTTTTGCACTTAGTTGCTAAAAATTCCCACTATTACTCCAAGTTTAGCTCAACTGGGGACAATTATGCTAGGAATACTAGTATAGGTGAGGTTCCAGGGATCTGCCAGCATTTTAAGTACCATGTTTTCTACCATACCTCAGAGCAGGTCTACACAACGATTAAAATACTGATGACCTGTGGTGCCTTGTCTACACGAGAGCGGTCACCCTTGCTACCACCCTGGCTTTGAAATGTTGATAGCAATCACAGGGTTTTTTTTGTTTAAAAAATATCCTCACAAAGACAAGGTTTAGGACATCTTTCTTGTTGACTCTAGCACATGTCAACCTCAAAACCATCATGTACTTTCTCCTGTGGTTTTTTTTTGGTGAAGAGCTTTCTACACATGGAGTTCTCTCTTATATTAACTATCCTTGATTAACTCAATTTGTGGACACTTTTATTCCTGAATAAGAGAGCTTTGTTCCTGTTTAGCTTTAGGCTTATTCTAGGATCAGAGTATGTACACAAGGAGTTGATCAGTGTTTGTTAGTTAGGAATAGCTGTGTGTGAGAGTGCACAGACATGCTCTTAGAAGAGACCACTACATCACTACAAATTAAAGAGGCTATCCCTTTTAATTCACATGACCTGTAAAAGTTTGTTTTCATGGAGAGGTCTTCAGCATAGCAACCAATCCTGAATTTAATTGTTGGAATACTGCCAATAAAGAGGGGGAAAAGAAAGAAGGGGTTTTGAAAGTGGAATGGGGTCTTCTCAGATCTTCATTACTCAACTTCTTTAAGCGCTATTGAAGATTTTGGCATGATCCATTCTTCCACCTGATAAGAGCTGGAGATGGTAGCACTCAAAGATACTTAATACTAGTCTTGAGTTAGCTGGATGAGGTCACTTGAAAATGATTCAAGGTGGTTTTGAAGTGATTACTGTAATATTATTTCATCTTAAATATATTTTTATTAAACAACTTCTTAAAATTATACAAAATAAAATCTATGTAAGGATCAAACTGTTTCTCAACTTCTATGGTTAAGATACTGCTTACATGTTCTACATCCCACCTGTTACCAGGTAAATTGACCTGCATTTTAATGAATCTGTGTTATTCACTTGCTACCGCTGCATATGTATGGCTTAAGGATATTAGTATAAATCCAAAATGAGAATGAAATTGGTGAAAAACTTTCAAGTGCCAGAGGAAATCCCAGTTTATTAATTTAAGAAAAGCAAACCATTTTTTATTCTTTCTTCAATTTTTTGGTGGAAGCAAGTGGTGTTTTTCCTTGGTAGAAAACTGAACATTAACAGTTTTGCACAGCTCTCTTATTGACATGGACTCATAACCAGATTAAAAGAACTGAAGTGGGAAGGGTGATGGTGTTGTGTTACTACAGGTAACAGCCTTCATGTGAGACTAGATTAGTTTCATCTCTGCACCTATCCAAGTAGAAATTAAAGCTCCCATAATTCTTTTCAAAAAGAGTAAGGGAGAATCCAACATTAGGCCAACATTCCCTCTAAAAATAAAGTATGTTCTCATATCCAGGGCAATGAGCAAGCTATTGCCAAGAGCATACTGGCTGATGCATTTAACTTCACAGCCTCTACACAGCTAGTATTTAATTAACTTCTTTTATAAGTGCTAAAATATCTCAACAATGAGAGACTCTACATAAGCGCCCTATATTTAAATACATATACAAAATGGAATTTTGCTGAGCTAGGATAAAATAACTGATATTCTGAGTATGTTTCTTCATCATTTCAGCCAGTCATGTGAAGAATCATAGTCTGTTCAACACATAACAACATTGTTTCTTTCTAATCTACATGACTGAACATCTAGAATGGTAGATTATGATACTTAGCATCCTTTGTTTAGAGCAGTTTGGATTTGGTTTAGGAAAATGAGTCATTGTGTGGTTCAGAGAAAATCTAAGACCTGTGTTTGTGTTTGGATAAATCTGCAGAACATTTGCTTTTATTTGTTGGTCAGCCTTATGAAATAATTTACTAAAATCTCAAAGGGAGAATTTGGAACCCATTTAGCCAGTCTTGAAGAGCAGAACAAATTACTCTGCACACTTGAATGAAATATCTGAGACATCCTTTCTAATTCAATATGACCCATTTACAAATAGGAAAGTTCATCTCAGCTGAGAAAAGACTCAGGCTTAACAGGGGACAGAAATGATTGGTCACTTAATGGGAAGAGGCTTTCTTACATAAACAACATTTATAGCATGCAATAGTTTATAGAAAGAAAACTCATTCAGAAAAA